ATGATATTCATATGTAAATAATGTTAGCACAGAAGAAAATATAACAGAAAAATCTGCATATACAACGTTTGGAAAAATATCAAATTATTGTTACCTTCGCTGCATGATTTCAATCGCATAGCCCATATTGCATTTGGGGCTTGGTATGCGACATGCAGCATTCAACTCACAAAATCTTCACCTATTTTGAAAAAAGCTGTATAAAAGATTGTGTGTGTGTGTGTGTGTGTGTGTGTGTGTGTGTGTGTGTGTTTATGGGTTTTTGTGTGTTTTTGAAGGCTACCAGCAAACATTTAAGGCATTTTAAACCACTTAAAACGATACTTGATTACCTTCATTCTTCTCACAAATGTAGTCGTGGACGTAGTACCAAGACTTGTATATAAACTTGCAGCTTATGGCAATTAGTCCGGAGCTTGCACTTCTAGAAGCATCGATAGCTAAACACTGAGGCTCGTCCTTTCTCTCAATAGTACTACCAGCTTGGAATAAAGATTCATTGACTCCTTCTCCATTAATCCAGGACCAGTCTGACATATCTCGAACAAGTCCAATATACAGCGGCTTTGTAGTGATCTTGTCGAGTTCTTTAGATAAAGCTGCTCGCTTTTCTTCTGTGTCTACTACAGCAAGTTTTGCGCCGACGTGGGAACACGAGGTTTGAGCCTGTACCCACGTCTTTTTTGGATTTGGATTTAGTGTGTAGCATGTGTTTCCAAACTTTAGGTTCATTCCACTGCTACAGTTATTAGAAACTTTGAACAAAATTATAGAACACAAATAAATTCTTATAAAATTATTGACAATTTTAAGCAACTGTTTAAAAAAATCCCTCTCTCGTCCCTCTTTCCCTCTCAATCTTCTCCTTTTTTCCCTCTCCCTCTTTCCCACTCCCTCTTTTCCACTCCCTCTTTCCCTCTCCTTCTTTCCCTCTCTCTCCCTCTTTGCCTCTCCCTCTTTCCCTCTCCCTCTTTTCTCTCTCTTTTTCTGTCTATAACTTTATAGCATCAAGATTCATATATTACAGTTTTGCAAAACTATCAAAAACTGACTTGTCTTCGAAGCAAAAAATAATAATTTTACTTAAATCCAACTAGAAAGCCGATTACTAAGATTCTTACCTAACGGTATTTCGCAGACGTAGCCATATCTTCTGCTGTCACACGGCAAATCCACCCACCACCATCCACACCAGGTTGACTTCCTTAACAAGCCACCACATTTTCCCTTAGGTGACACACCAGGTCCCCATAAACTTACATTGACGGCCGGGCCCTGGGACCAATTCCAGGAGACCTTAATTGTGTCACGTGATCCCACAAAGACGTCACTTAGTTTCAAGTCATGCGCAATTGAAGTTAAGAATTGTAGTTTTTCTGGGCTGTCAACAATTGCCAAGTCTGCATCCTGGTCAATGCACATGGTAGTAGAGGGCTTCCAGGCGTCTCCGTATGCCCATAAACGGGACACAGTTGAGAAGTAGTAACAAGAGTTACCATGGCGAAGCCAGTCTGGCTGACAGCCGAAGGACGGAGCTGAAACATCAAAAAGTTAACATAACAGTTTAGAGTTAAAAGATTTCTTAGCTCAATTTTGAAGAATACGGAGGATCCTAAACAATTAAAATTATTATGTACTAGACTTGTGGTCTACTTGAACGCGCATTAGAGTCTTTGGTTCAAGAACACGAATGAATGGGGATCAAGAGGGAAATCTTTAATCAAGATTGCGAGGGTGTGAACTTGTAAATTTCTCAAAGAAAGCCAAGAAACCCCGATGTCTTGAAGCTGTCACGCTCTAAGAAACATTAAACCCCGGAACTCTAGATCTATCTTGTAGATAAGTAAGGGATTGCCCAATCTGCAACCAGCGCAACCAAAGGCAGAAAGCGGCAACAATGATCGGCCCAGTTTTTCCCCAAAATAATCAAAAGATCTATTACAAACTGTGCTGACACGGAATAAAAATGAAATACCTTACGTACATGTGTTGTTTGAAACAGCATCGGTAGGAAGTAGGAAGAGTAAGAACCAGGCAAAGTACTGGAGTATATTTAATTGCCACTGAAACATATTCTGATTACAGGCCAAAGATACGAACTTTCATTACTGAATAGCGGTCCTGTTTTTGCGATTTATTAATTTTCCTTCTGGAAAAAAAGTGAAAGAAAGTAAAGAAGAAGAAAGATTATTCTTTTTCTCCCAAACTGTGGATAAGTGGTTTTCTCATTTCAAACCTCTTATGTAGAAGTTGTCCTTTGAGCTTCCCTTACATAGCGTCAGTATCTCCTGGAGCGTTGAAGAAAACTAGATTCTGCTAAATTCATGCACGTATAAGCAGATACAAGCAGAGGATGAAGTTAAGGTCCACACGATAAGTTACATGCGTTGATTGAGTTCAAATATTCAAAGCAAAGATTAACCGGCAAATTTATTATTACCAACTGCACGCGCATGCGTACAACATGGTCTTATTTTTGCCCTTATACATTAAACTTCAATAGCCTGTTCTTCAGTGAATTAGACTTACAGAGAGCCGACGGTGCGAAAGCTGGACATTCTGGAACACCCTTTTATGACTTAAAAAAAAACTTTGATAGAAGATTTTAAGTACAAACTTTTGTCACTTCTTAGAATTTTATTTTGTAAATAACTTGATAACTCCTTGGTGGACGTTGAAAAACCTTATGGCACAACACTTAACAAAAAGCACTCGCACTTAAAACATCAAGTCATCGAATGGGGAAAAAACTTGTCTACTTGTCAGTGCAATTTACTTTGAATGACAATTACGTTTTCTCAACATGACATTTGCTCAATAACAAGTCCCTTCTTATCTTGTTGTAGTTCAATACACTCTTTGGAGTATTTATTTCTGAGTCAAAAGAGCTTTATCAGACAAATCTTGAAGCTCTTGGCATGACATTTTTCTTTCATATCATTTAATTTTACAAACTGTTTTGAATTTTCCGCAGCAAAGAAAAACCAAATACTCATTATATTTAACAGAGACAAGAAAAAAGGCAAGGAAAGTAAAAACAAAAGGTGTATAATCGAAGCATCTAGCAACTCTATTCGTGACACTGTATTTCTGTATTTGGTATATGATCATATCTATTTTTAGCATTACTCTTTATCTGTATTTGCAAAGAATAAAAAAGTGCATTCACTAAACACTAAAATGGTTGCATTTTTCTTTCCTGTGCACTGTTTATATGTATAAACGAATATATATAAAAACGAATATATATATAAACGAATATATATTTAAACGAATATATATTCAAAATACTGATATATTAATACAGATCAAGAAAGCATAAATATTTATGCTCTTGTACAGATAGACATTCAAAAAATGGTTGGTGAAGTTTTTGTTACATGCTGCATGCTGCATCTTGCAAGATGTTTGCTAATAAGCTTGAAATATATCGTGTATCATACTCAGAAGCAAAATATATCAGCACAGATAATTTCGTTCCAAGAACAGGAAAAAGGCCAACTTGATTAAAAATGTTGACCCTATGGGAGATTTATTTATTCATTTAATTTCCCAATACAACAACTCCTCTTGCCGAGGATTGATTGGTTGGGCAAACAGCTGATTACATATGTTTTGAACTTAGATTTTTGAAACTGGTTACAACATCAGCTTGTTGACAAAAATAGAGTCAGGCATGGCCAAAGCGGGTTCCATAGATTTGCAGTTCTTGGATAAAAAGTACTGATTATGACCAACTCATTGGCACCAGCTCATATAGTATTTCTTTTGCTTCAGGTCACAAAGCATGTCATGCGGATTTCTACGATTTCGATAAAACAGTGGGACGTATCTTTTGTGGACCTCATTATAAATGCCCGCATTAGTGCAGCATTGACAATCTGCGTATATAACAAACCTTATGTCAAGGTGAGCGACAATAATGTATTAAAAAGAGACTACTGCTGCTTATAAAATGAACTCCATGCCACCTCAAAGTTTACGCAGATGTATTACTGAATCTTCACGACCCACAACAAGACTTATGCCTAAAGAAGGAAGGGAAAGAAGTGAGAAGAGAGACTGCCCTTCATGATATTTATCTGTGTCTCTTATTTCACTCCCTCTCACAAACGTTATGATATGATAATTTAGCTTTTCTTCTTAGGATGCCATGGTTATGATTTTAATCCTAAAAACCATGGCCACTCGACAATTTTACTCTGCGTTTTTCACTTTTACTTTACTTGCGAACAAACAAAATTAAGGGCGATCACTATTCGGCCTTCCAATGTTATTTCTAACAATAAAACACTGAATTGAATTTGCAAACATAAAGATCATCAGTTATTTCCRATGAATAGAACCGATTTACGACTTCCAATTTCATTAATCAAACTTTCACTTTGTATGGCCTGACATATTATACCAATGTCTAGAAGGCTCAGTCGACTGACATCTCACATAAGATCAGTTGCAGATACACTTGAAGCAGATAAGTTATTTATGCGAAAATGGGCTTGAATCTAGTAGGCATATGATGGGACATATAGTATCGAAAGTGCAAAATAAACATAAAGAGGCCTTGGTAATCGGTTGCATGGACAAAAAAGCAGTTTCACGAATACCCTGCGGTCTAGAAATTATTTTTTCATTGCTCTACCGGGCGTTTGCTATTTTAATGTGAAAACCTAACCGTAGTGAAATGTAAGAACATCTGAGCCCAGGATATAGTTTTGAACTGATTAGCTAGTGTGCACATATTTCAAAAAATCTGAAATCTGAAACCGAGTAACACGCTTGAAATTATAATATATTCACAGCCGAACAACGTAGTTTCCTTTTTATATTAGATGTAGACGTGATTGTGTTTGTAGACGTTATTTTCAGATTGTCATTTCGAATGAGAACATCGTATTTTTTACGCAGTTCTAAGTACATCCTGGCACACAGCAGTTATATTTTGGCATTTTTGCTTTCGATGGTTAAAAGTTCGATTCACTAGAAGAATTTGGAAGAGATCAAAGGTACGAAGTCGAATCCTGTCCCTAGTAATGATCCCATAAGCACTTGCAAGGCGAAACTCGACCCAGTCCCCCACTCGTTTTTGAAATGGCYTATTTCAAAACCGACAATGTGGACTGGACGGGATTTCAAGTCCGCGCAATTAGTGGAACTAATTAGTGCAAGGACCTGAAATCCAGTCCAGTCAGATTTGGAGGCTTTGAAAGGACTTCTCATACTCATTGATTACTCGGGAGATTATTTGTTTAGGATTGAAAGACTTAAGGGAGAAATATGTTGACAGTAATTTTGATCGAGTCGAAGGACTTGAACAAAATTAATTTAGGCCCCGTCCATACGTATCCGGAAATATTTGTATCCGCAAATTTATTTTGCGGATACGAAAATGTTCGCGTCCACACGCAGCGTATTCGAATCGTTTTCGAAATTTCTTGATCCGCCCTGATGCACGCTAGTGCCTAGTCCCTTTGACGGATAGTTTTTCTTATTGAGCATGCGCAAAATCGTGTTTACGTCAGCGTATTCGAAAATTTGCGGATACGACCCTCCACACGTATCCGTATTCGGAGCGTATTCGAAAATTTCCACTCTAGAGACCGTTTTGGAAAATTTCCGGATACGGATACAAAAATTGCCGGGCACGCGTGGACGCAACCCGTATCCGCAAAAAAAAAAATTGCGGATACACAAATTTCCGGATACGTGTGGACGGGGCCTCAGTCCTTGTACTTCAGCCCTAGCTCTTCCCTGCTGATATCAAAACTCTCCACGGCTTTAGATTTCACAGGACTTTACCAGGTTTCAAGTAACATCATGTGACCCCAAAAATATCCCATTGATTGGTTGGTTTCCTCTTGAATAATTAATGAGTATGAGAATGAGATTTGTCAAACTCATTAATAATTCATGAGGTTAATAACCAATGGCGACTTTGCATTGTAGTCACGTGCCCGCACTTGATCAAATACGGATCAAGACACTGATCAAAACACTGATCACTGTTTTAGTCTCAGGAGATTCAAGAACAAATGAATTATAATGAGACTGAGAAGTAAGTTCAAAAACTCGTGCTTCGTGTTTGATCAGGCCATCCAAACACCTCGAAGCAATAAAAGAACCCGGCCTACGGCCTCGTGCTTTCATCCGTTTCTCGGTGTTTGAATTCCCTAATCAAACACTCGCACTCGTTTTTGGCATGACCCTTGAGTTAGTTTAGCCTCAGATCGCCCATTACAGATCTCGGACCGACAAAGTTTTTTTCCATTTTTGAAATAGGTGTATAGCTCATGAGAGACAGGAGCTGCATGGATAATAAGCCTTTTCATAGTTTAAGAATCGATTCCACTGCGCATGCGATTTTATCCCGAATTTCTCACCTTCTTTTGTCTAAACCTTCTTTTGTTCTTAATTAAACAAAAGAAGGTGAGAAATTTTGGATAAACTCGCATGCGCAGTGGGATCGATTCTTAAACTATGAAAAGGCTTATTGGTCTAGTTTTAGTGTAGGACTGGAAGCGTTACGCACAACACAAATCTAGGTGAATAAGATATGGAGGCATATAGGTGTATAGCTCATGAGAGACAGGAGCTGCATGGATAATTAGTCTAGTTTTAGAGTAGGACTCGAAGCGTTACGCACAACACAAATCTAGGTGAATAAAATATGGAGGCATATATATGGAGACTTATCTACCAGAAGAGACTGATGAATGAATACCAATTATATGTTTTATCTTTAATTGCTTACTATTAATTGTGTATTTTGCCGTATCTTGAACACTTCTATTCTTCAAGATTTCTAACGATTAATTTAATCCTATATAGATTATTTTAATTTTTGTCTGCAAGAGTTAGATATCTGTGAATGACATACCGTAGATAAGTTTTCCCTTACACCTCTATGATTAGCATCATTTAGTTTAATTACCATGCATGATCAATTATGCGTTTTGTGGGACCGAACGATAATAAATATTGCAATTACTAAATTGCTATGGAAGACTTTCACTCTTATCGTTATTTTTGCTAATTGCAGGGGCTCTAGACCTCTTTTATTATTTGCACCTGTACCCCTACGTTAACTTATGCATGTATATTTTAACTATCTTTAACTAAGCAACGGGAAAAAAAACAGTTTCTATTTTAGTTTTTTGAGGAATAAACCTAGCTTGGAAAGTATTGTCATAGTGGACTATTGTCGGGACTGAACCTTAGTCTGAGGGCTAATATATATCTGGAATCATGGAATCCAGAAATCTCATCAGACGCCTAGTATTTATCCCGTTATGGCCCAACGATCAGTGGAGAGTTAGCATCCAGATGTTTAGCGGAGAGTTGCATCTCGATTGCGGTAATATGACATGAAACGTCAGTTGACAAGCAAAAGATTCTTTAAAACTTGTAAAAAGGGGAAAGTCGCAATAATGTAGTAGTTAAATAAAGGAATACTTTTCTTTGGTAAAAATATTAATGTTTGCAAAATTGGTGAATTCAAATGCAGGGAAACGATGAAAACGGGGTAATGTCTGCTGTTTGAGGAAGAAAAGGATAGAATACGATATTTCATTTCAGTATGTTGTATTTACCATTTTCTATATGTCGATTTATTGGTCAAAAATAAAGCAAGGCGGACAATGGCTTCCCATTGTCTTCCAATAATTCATCCAATCATAACTCGTAGTTGTGGTTACGTTACGCATTTTCCATATCGTTTCCCACTCATACGAAAACAGCAATAACCTACTAGCGCTTAAAGTGCTACTCTGTCCTGACGAAAATCGCTCAAACTTGGATTCAGCTGAAACTTTGATGTTGAGTGTATGACGTCACAGACTCCAAAAAATAATCGTAAAAATATCATACTTTCGTCCTGAATATCGAGAAAACACTTCATACAGTGATTATTGGACCTTTAAAGAGTATTCTCAGGAAGTTTCAGCTGAATTCAAGTTTGAGCGATTTTCGTCAGGACAGAGTAGCACTTTACACTGTACACTTTTGGTGTTCAAACCTCTCAGGAAAGAAAAAAATTGATATAGATATATGATATCTGTATATAGCTGGAAAGGACGCGTTAAAATGTGTAAAACTGTGATGTTCGGAGAGAATAAACTCAAAACTCGCGAAAATGTTAATTTTCAAAAAAGAAAATTTTGTATGAAAAAGCAACTGATGTTTCTTACAAAATTCATACTTTTCAAAAACCTTATCTTCGCAAGTTTTGGACAATTCCTTAACTTCACCATTACTAATTTTAACATGCTCTTTCTGGTTATGATAATTATTTTTCTCGGCTTTACTGATTAAAAATACCTAGCCAGTAAAAAGCTCATTCCTCTATAGCTCCAAAGACCATAGCTAGCTGATATACTAAAATTTTTACTTTGTGTGAGCATCTTCATCTACCATCACCCAAAACGTATTAGGAAAACATTGAAGTGTAAAATGAAAGCCATTAAAAAATAAATAGATGCAGTATGAATTGTGCTCGGTAACGTACCCTGAAGGAGATTGGTTGTATAGAGAAATTCAGAGTGTTTTTGTGACTTATTGCAACATATTATCAGGAGAAAATATATATTATCTTCAAATTTTTATCGAAATGCATGAACACTGAAACAAACTCTTGGCAAGTTAGGGAACAGCTAACTCAATTGAATTCTTGTTCGGTCAAATGGGTGAAAACCAGACTGGAGACTGACCCGGAGAAAAACCCTCGAATCAAGGAAGAGACCTCAACAAAATTTTTCTCACATGTGAGATATCGAATCCAGAAACCAGAAACCGAACCCAATTAGATTAGGTCAAAAAACTTTTGGAAATCATATAAAAACGATGAGCAACTCTCTAGATAAACGACCGGATATTATTATGAATTTACCTCTAAACTTAACTCGTCTGTTTGTTAAGCAATCACCAAAACTAAAAAGACTCACACTGAAACAGGTTGAAACAAAGTAAAAATACMTAGATATCTTAGGTATGTTTTAATACTTACACGTTTGGGGTGCTTCGAGCTCGGTTTTAGGTTTCCAAGTGACGAAAATATCAGCAGTCATTGATCTTTGTATTCTTAGGAAAAATTCATAGCCTATGAATAAGAATATTATGACTATCGGTAAGGTAATCATTTAAGTAAATACGTTTTAAGATATCTCTAATTGGTTTTGAGAAATTGACAATAATCACGTGATCAAGATGTTAYTCACTTTGTTGAATTTGAAATTAAGAAGCCGGTTGCCCTGGAAATCGAGGTGAAAAATTAAAGTAAAGTAAAATTAAAGTTTAAAAGAAAAGATTTAAAAAGAAGCTCTCGCAGCTAAGTTGAGCTTAGATTACTTTGCTTTTATGTAAGACGAAATGTGCTTTTTGGAACAGGATATTTTTTTAGTTTAGTTTAATTTTAATTTTAAAATAGAACATGGTTTTATTGACACGAAGCTTCAATTTTGTCGAACAATAAACTGGCAAATGGCATATAAAACAGTTTCTTCAAAGTCTGGCAGGTTTGATGGCTGTTTTGTCATAAGTCTGTTTGTTTATAACCTTGATATTTCATTGCATATCATTCTTTTTTTTTCTTTTTCAAGTCATAACGTGTTTACTACACATGTAAAAGAGTCGAGAGTCTTGCGGCTTTAACGACAATGCCCTCGGTTTAGTTATAATTTTCTTTCTACTGCCCTATCAATTAATTGTTGGTTTTCACTCATTACGGCCCAAAAAGGGAATGGTATAACATGACTACACTGAGGCCATGTTGGTTGCCGACATCAAACAAATGAAAAAATCTTATAGTGACACAAATCTTTCGTCATTTCGACCAACATGACGGCTGTGAAAACCAGCAATACATCAAATACTTCAGACTATGAAGGGAGTTTGTGGAACAAAAATGCAATGATATTATTATTATTATTATTATTATTATTATTAATGTATTTGTTTGTTTATTACTTCATTCATTCATTCATTCATTCATTCATTCATTTATTTATTTATTTATTCATTCATTCATTCATTTATTTATTTATTTATTTATTTAT